TTTGCCATGATATTTTAAAATACTAGTATGTTTAAATTTTCTTTGGTAGTTAATATTATTATTACAAACAAACTACCTGCTCCATTTATTAATAATATTTTATTGTTTTATTTATTGAAAAACTTTATTTAAAAAGGATTAATTCAAAAATATAAATAATTTTTCGATTATAATAAAAAATCTTATTTCTTAAAAGTCTTGAACTCTGTTATTCAAACAATTGATCAATTTTTATTCGTTGCTTAAATTAATAATTATCTGGCCTAAATAGTGATGCATATTTTACCAATAATTGCTTCACAAACAGCTTGGTTTAGTACCATAGCCGTGGAATAACGCTCGTGGGTGTTCGTGGGTGTTATTTTTTAAAAAATTAACCCTTATTTCGAAATAATGCACATGGGCACACTCGAAATAACACACAGGTCAATTAATTAATGTACAGGTAGGCATTATTCCACTATGGCTATAAAGTATGAATAAAAATAGATAGAGTTTAAGTATGACTATAATGCTTGATATGAGTACCGCAAAGAGAGTAATTTGCAAATATTATTATATAAGATTTGCAGGTTTAATACTCATCTAGTTACAGATAATGTTATAAAAAATTTTTTTAAAAAAAACCACCTTTGCTATTATGGTTCTGGCCCAACTTACTAGAATTTTTAACACAGTTACCTCGTTATAATAGTTCTGGCCCAGCTTACAATAATTCAAAAAGAAATAACCTTTGTAATCGTAGTTCTGACCCAACCTACTAAAATTTTAAAAAAGCTATCTTCGTTGAAAGAGTTTGGCCCAGAACTTAAAGAAGTTACCTTTGCTGAAATAGATCTGGTCCAACCTACTAGAATTTAAAAATCAACACCTTTGCTGTGGTCAAACTGCCTAGAAGCTCCAAAAAGAAAAAACCTTCGCTTCAATATTTCTGGCCTTTGCTGTAGTAGATCGTTCAACCTATAAAATTTTAAAATCATTGTAATAGAAGATCTACCTTCGTTAAAAAAAAAAACTTCTAAAATCATTGTAATAGAAGATCTACCTTTGTTAAAAAAAAAAACTTCAAGCCATAGATCACTGCCAAATAATAAAATTAATGATCTTAGCACAGTAAAATACTGAACATATGATTCCCAAGGCTAATATACGTTATTTTGTTATTTGTGTTTGGCTAACAAGATTAATCTTTTCGTCACTGAAAAACGTATCGGTATTTAAAGCTTATTATTATTAAATCGGCAAATAATCTAATTTGGATTTGAAATTTTAACTTGTCGGGATCTTGTCTCTGTCGGGATTTTGTCTTAATTTGGTAGATTGTCGAGATTTTGAACCGTTGAGATTATATCATTGTCGGGATTTTGACTTGTCGAGATTTTGGCTGTCGAAATTTTGTCTATGTCGGGATTTAGCCTGTTGGGATTCTAGACTGTCGAAATTTTGGATATTGGGATTTTTGGTAAAACTGTTTGACCAAATGTACTATTTATTTTATGTTCAAATTTAGTTTATTAAAATTTACTATTATTGTTCAAAATAACTAGTATAATTATATATAAAGGTTGATCTTTAGTAGAGGTGGCCACTATAGAAATATTATAAGATTATAATATATAAAAATAGTATTTGAACTAATTTAAGCAAATTTGAGATTAGTTAAGATTGGGTAAGGTTATAGTATAGTTTATAGTTAGCTCTAGGGTTAGAGGTAGAGTTTTTTTATATTATAATCTTATAATATTTCTATATTGGCCACCTATACTAAAGGAAATCTAGTTGACTATATCTATCAAATATATACAGTCAGACCCCCCTAAATGCAACCCCCCTAAATGCAGCACCTCCCTAAATGCATGGTAACAAGCTAGGCCCGCAATGGGACCTATAAATAAATGCATGTTCTTTTTTCTGCAATTGCACGATACTTTTTCGGCCCAGATATAATAAGCTCCTTCCATAAATGCATACACGTGATTATTAACCAATGAAACTTTAGGATTTTTTAGATTATTAAATGCATGCGGTCGGAATATCATCTACGCATAATACGTACACGGGTTCCCTGCATGAATACTGCGATACCATACTTGGCCAATCTATGTTTACCGTATCTTCATGTAAAATGAATAAAGTAGAAGTTTCTTTTCATATAAACATATTTTAGAATCGTTTGATCTTTAACATTAATACATAAAATACGAAGGATCATTTTCTCTAACATTAGATACCGTATAAGTGCGAAATAATGCTCATCTGTGCGTTATTTCGAATACACCCGTGTACGTTATTTCGAAATAAGAGTAGATTTTCTAAATCCAATGCAGTCAACCTTCCATAACTGCACGTTTTTGGGTAAAAGTGCATTTATAGAATATTCATTTATGGAGCATAATCTACATATAAAATAATTACATTAGACCGATCAAATTATGTGAACTTATCATTATAGAGAAAGTGCACTTATAAAGAGTGCACATATAGAGTGTCATTTATCGCAACAATAAATTATGCGCTACATTAGGATCTGATTTTCAAAATAACGTTATTTCGTGCTTATACGGAATGAAATCCATTCAATTGCATTCTCATGGTTCTAAGTTGAAATTCTCTGATTTAATCATTAATATTCTTTTTTGCTTGTTGGGATCACATGTCAAACATCATGCTTTAAACGTGTTGTCTTTATTACAATGTATACTTTTTCCGTATTTAAGTTACCATTTTAATCATCGTCAAATATTATGTATATTTTTTAAATCATTAAAATTTATTGTAATACTCACTAGTCAAATAGAATGGTAATCTAAAGGGTATTAGTTAGTAGTAAATAAGTGTTTGTAAACATAAATCACTTTTTTAATCCATCGATTAATAGATCATCTTTATACTCATACTAACACAGGTCGAATTTTAAAATTTCTACATTTCTTAGAGAGATCAACAGAATATCAGACGTCAATATGTCTGATAGTTAACCTATTTTTAGCGCGTATTTTCACCTGTCAAGAGGATATCGGTTCGGTAGGCAAAACAGATATCCAATACTTTTTGATAGAAGTATCTGATATCTGATATGCCTATCGGAACCAATATCCTTCCGATAGGTGAAAATACGTGCCAAAAATCGGTTAGCTATCAGACATCGACGTCTGATATTCTGCTGATCTCTCAGAAATGTTATCGTTATAGAAATTTTAAAATTCGACCTGTGTAAATTTAAGGTGAATGACGGCATACGGTATCTATACGGCACACACTTATACGGCATACGGCATTTATACGGCATGCGACACTTCTACTTATACGGCAAATATGCCGTATTGTCGTGATATTTTTGTTGGGGTAGCTACCTCCAAAATTCTAAATGTCTGCATCTCTAGTGAACAAACAGATGCGGCATATCTAAAGTACAGTCATTCGACTTTGGTTACCCCGACAACTTTCAAGCATTACCCTTGCTCTTCCATACAATAATTAAGAGCAGATTATTGTTTAGTATAACATAGATAGTCTTATTGATAAAGAATTTAAATTACTGATAGAACTTAAACGATACTTATCTTAATTGGCGTTAACCATTATTTCCCAAGTAGTCTTTAAGATAACTATTGTTTCCCAATAAAGTTAGTTCTTAAGATACTTCAAATGGTAAATGGCTTATACTCGTAGACCCAAATCAATTCGAATAAGCGATTGCTTATATAATCATTGCTACCTAATTAGTGTTTCGAGTGCCATGATAGTAGAATTTGCTCCTGACCTAAGATAAAAACAATAAATATGCATAAGTTAATAGTGAAACTCAATGAATAAGTATCAATTGAATTCCATTGAGGTTTTCCATTTACAACTCTGCCTCATGTTTAAGTATTCTAAATAAAATTTAGCAGTATGTGAGTAGTTCGCCTACATAATTTTTTTTTAATGACATGTAAAACAATACAAAAAGTATAAACGATTCACACACCAAGATACTCCCAAATGTGATCGTACAACAAATATAATAGGGTATTGTTGCGATTAAGTTAAATAAAGCTCTGCAATTAAAACAAGTTCTTTCTCGTATAAATTTTTTTTAAATAACTCTTATATACTTGACCTGTAAATTGTAAGACGTGACATGTCTTCTTCAAAGCGTAAAGAAAAGACTACTCTTAGCAATCAACAAAGAAAAGAAATTATTGAATTTAAAGAAAAACACCCAAGTATTAGTAATGTTGATCTCGTCGATTGGGTGAAAAAAAATATGGGTCTTGAAGTTCATCCCTCTACCATTGGGCGTCTAATAAAAAATAAAGATAATATTGGGGATAATCTATCTGCAAAAAGGCAGAAGACAGTACAGCATCCAGACCTTGAAAATTCATTACTCGAGTGGATCCTTCAAAGCCAAGACCGAATCATATTAAGTGATGCCATTCTAATCGAAAAAGCAAAATCTTTTGCTAAATTGTTAAATATACCTGATAACAGCCTTAAATTCTCACATGGTTGGTTATATAAATTTAAAAAACGACACGGCATAAGCCAAATAACACAACATGGTGAAGATGCATCCGTAGATGATGATGTCGTTGCAACTGCGATTCCTAAATTAAGAGAATTATTAGCTAAATTTGAGTTAAAAGATGTTTACAATATGGACGAAACGGGATTGTTTTATCGGTAAAACTAAATAATTTTAAAATTTCAATACTTAGCTTATTAATTTTTTTTTTTCTTTTTATTCTTCTTTTAGCCTTGAACCTGATACGACATTGGCAACAACTAGTCTTAAAGGTAGAAAAAAAAATAAAGAACAATTAACTGTAGCATTTTGTGTTAACGCTGATGGAACAGATAAACTTAAGCCGTTTGTAATTGGAAAGTATCCCAACCCACGCTGTTTCAAAGGTATCAAACGCAACTTACTTGGTATCACGTATGATAGTAGTGCCAATGCATAGATGACGACTATATTATTTCAAAATTGGCTTAAAGGATTTGATTTAAAGATGGCTGGTTGCAAGACGCTTCTTTTGATAGACGGTGCAAAATGTCATTCTTATAAAAATTTAAATCTTCGAAACACAACCGTTCATCTTCTTCCACCTAACACAACATCTCGTATTCAGCCTTTAGATGCTGGTATCATTATGTCTTTCAAGCGTCGCTACAAAAGTTATTTCATTAAATGGTTGCTTGATATATATGAATCCGGAAGTGATAAAAAATTGGATGTTCCTAAAGCTATTAAGTTTATAGTCAAAGCATGGAAAGAAGTATCATCAGAAACGGTGTTTAATTGCTTTCGACATACTGGTTAAGTTGTGTTACGAAAATTATTATCTTACAATACATGTAATTTTACATAAACTTCAGTAAATCGAATTTCATGTAATTTTCACTAAGTTATATAAAGTACTGAAATTACATGAGATCTAATTTATTAAAACTTATTGTAAAATTACATAAAATTATGCAAAATTCTAGTAATTTTATAACCCTACTGCATATATAGGAATCCTTCCAGTTGATTCGGATGATGATGAGGCGATTGACGATGATGAGGTGCTTGACAATGATGATGATGCCGAGTTAATGAAAGAATTACGTGAAGATATCGAAGCGCTCCATTTTCGAAATGTGATGAATCTTGAAGAATATATTGACCATCCAGAAGAAAAGGAAATACATGAAGTATTAAGCGATCATGAAATAGTGAATCTAGCTATTAACCTAGAACCTGAAGAGGATATAAGTGATGAAGATGATGATAGCACAGAAATGCGCCAAGTTACTCATAATGAAGCACTGAATGCTACATATTTGCTAGAACAATACCTTCTGCAACAGGATCTTTGTGACACAGCCCGGTCAAAACATGATGAAGCTTTGTCGAACTTGCAAAATACGATTAGAAAATTACGAAATACATCTTTCAAGCAATTAGATCTTGAAGCGTTTTTTGAGCTTGCCGATTAACTCTGTAAAAAAAACTAAGCTATATGAGTAAGTGTTGGATATTTAAAACTTTTAAAATGTAAATAGATAACACATAACTTAACAATCAAATCGCTTTAACGCAATATTTTTTTTGAAATCAACCTTGAACTGATCTAAGACTTCAACCACCTTTGGAACAGCAGCATTTATTAAACCTTAGTGTCTTATTAAAAAAGGATATAGACGTGATAAGAGATCAGATATTTATAGCTTTGGAGTAATCCTCAGGGAAATTTCAAGCGAAAGGCCTCCGCTATTATTTTTGCTAAAGATATTGGTGGAAACAAATGAAAGAGTTAAATTGAACGATCTACTTATATTTTAAATAATCACATTTATATTAGTAAAAAATTTTTTTTTTTTTTTTTTTTGCAACTATAGCAAAAACATTGTTTTTGACTCACTTACCCATTTTTATTGACCCACCCTAAAAAAAAAAGTCGTTTTTAACCTATAGTACGATCATATGTGATATCATTAGTCTTGTTATCGGCAAATCTATTAAGTTAAATAGGAATATTATATAAGATTGATGTAATGTCATATAAAAAATAAAGTAATAGAGAAAATAAAAGTTTTTATTTAACGATATATTGTAAAACAATCATATTACATATCGCGGCAAAGATGCACTTGATTCTGACTATTATAACTATATTCGTAAACTAATTGAACTCAATATCACATCCAAAATGACTTCCTATTCTTTCTTTATGAGATTATTATTATTTGGACGAGCAATCAAAAATTATCATTATTTGCTTCCTATATTATAAAATATCTCGAAGTCAAAAAAGAATTAATAAGACAATAAAACATGAGCTTGTGGTAGTTGAACGTAGAAGTTGTAACACATTATAAATATCATTGATTTATTTTAAATCTATAAATTTTAAGTTACCACGGCATTTTAATCTTGTGCCTTGATCAAACGGCGAGTTTTTTTTTATTTTTTTTTTGAGTGGGTCAATAAAAATTGGTCAAATGGTCAAAAACAATGTTTTTGCGCAACTATGATCTCGTTTCATATTCAAAGAATTACTAAATTGTGTAGTGTGCGAAAGCATCTTGAATAACAAATAAGTAAATAATATGGCTTGTCGTTGAATCGAAATTTGTATTTGTTAGTTATAATACAGTTATGCTTATATAGCTAATAGGCATTCACGTGATTACAGTTTTACTATGGCTATTCTATAATTGCAACCCCCCCTAAATGCACGCTTCAGAGCTGGTCCCGGCGACGTGCATTTAGGGGGGTCTGACTGTATATATATATACTATAAGTAAAATTTGACCTGTGGGTCGATAGCATAGCAGTTATACTCCTAGGTTGCAAATCGGATAGTTGCCAGTTCAATTCCTCCCAACAGCGGATTAATGAAAATTTGAAAATGGAAGTGAAACAACGCGGGTACAGAGAACCTAGATTATCTATGGATAGATGTATTCAAAGAATAGTTATTCCAAGAAGTTGTGGCTATGAAGCGAGACATGTTAGAACTCCAATTTGGAATAACCGAAGTTATAAGACGTAATGTGAGGCCAAATCTGATAAAGATTCTACAAGAACTCATGGCAACACCAGATTGGCTGGTAAAAGTCCAGTACAATAATAAGGTGATCTGATCTCTCCAGAGGATGGTGCAGGCAGTTGGTTCTAGGTACCTAAATAGGCAACCAGATAGGGTCAGGCCTATTCCAAATGTACTCATAATGGTAGAAATACTTAAATTGAGGTTACCTCCCTGTATAGGGGTGGTTAGTAGGAATAGTTGGTCATGGCAAGACTTAGCCAAAGTATAAAAAATATATATATATATATATAATTCAACTATTTGACTAATAACTATATAGACATGACTCTAGTATTTTGGTTGGTTGCAACAGTTTTGTATAGGTATAAGGCACATAACACAGCTTTCAAAGAAATTTTTTTAAAAAAAAACTTACAAAAAAAAAGACATTATAATAACTTGCAACTAATATGTGATAAAAAAAATTTTTAAGATTCAAACTTCTTGAAGCTCTAAACTATTATATTTACTGTAAAACTAATACCTATAAAAAAAATTGTATTGGTATATATAATCTGCAGCTTAATTGATAGTGGAGATAGAGGAAATATAATCTGAGCCTAATTAATAGTGATAGTGATAGTGAAGATTGTATTAGTATTGTATTATATAATTTGTACTACTAGCTTACAAGCCTTTCAAGCCAAAATTGTTCTATGATGAGCCTAATTGAACCAGCTTGATTCAGAACACTAATTGTACATCAAAATAATTTTTTAGTAAATTTTACTTTGCTAAACTTCTAACTTCTTTATATATACCAATTCTAATACTATATAATACAATAAAATACAATAAATACAATAATTAAATAGTTTAAATACTTTTTCAAGATATGTTTAAAGTATTTAACAAAGCAAACTTTAAATATTTAGTACATGCCTATATAAAGAATTAGCTTTTCTAACTAAAAATTATCGCAGTTTTTGAAATTGTTGACACTAAAATATTTTGTATACTCACTGTATACTAATATAGAATTATCTAACCCTAAAAAATTTTTTTATATACTTTAAATACAACTAATATATTTAAAGTATACAAAAAAATTTTTTAGGGTTAGATGATTTTATATTAGTATACAGTGAGTATACAAAATATTTTAGTGTTAACCATTTCGAAAACCGCGATAATATTATTACAAATTTTTACTATAACTACAAAGAAAAATTATTATAGCAAATAAACTTAGCTTGAATTTTACAAACTTAAACTTATATTAAATTTAAATTTGATCTGGGTTTGGTTTAAAGTTTTTAAACTAGTTTGAGTTTAAATAAATCTATATTAGCATATTTTTTATTTATAAACAAGTTTATTTAAAACCTAAAGGTATTTTTTAATTATTTTTTACAACTCAAAAATATTACTAGAATTTAAATTTCTAATTATTTTAAACAATTTTTTGTAACAAATTTACTTTATATAAAATTACTTTTTTTTTTAAAACTATAACAAATATATTTGAATTTTTATTTAAATCAAATTTTTATTATTTACTTTATATACTTAACAAATTTTATATCTCAAAGTCTAATAGATTTTTTAAATTCTTTACAAAATTCTTTGTCTAATGATTTTTAAAATTTTATTTAAAATTAGCTTTACAAATCAAATAGCTAAAATAAACTCTTATTTAGCTTTATTTTAAAAGTTAATAAATTTATAACTATAGGTAATCCATTTCATTTACGTGATTATTAAATTTATTTTATAAATACATAATATTATTTATTTATTTATGGTTACTGTAATTACATTCAATAAAGCAAATTAAAATTTAAGATCAGGTGTATGTGAAATCAAAACAAAGATGCTTTTTTAAAGAAATCATTAATAACACAAAATTTTGACTATAAAACTATTTTTATATTCTAACAAAAAAATTTCTTGCTAAATTTTGATATAAACTATGTCTTTTCCTATTCCTAGCCTCATTCTAATTCTAATCTTAATTGCAAGTTTTATACCAGGAGCGGAGTGATATGCAAATATCACGAAGTGTATGGTTATGAGGCGAATTAATGATGTGTGTCCGCAAAATCTTGCATTTTATTGGTTGTGGAATGAGGCAAAGCAGGGATGTGAATGCATATAGGGAACATCGCATGTTACATCTTCATATACCTATGCAATGCTTTGCTTATGAAATTTTTCCTGATTAGTGTGGTACGTATGGATGACTTGCGTAAGCTATAGTGTGGAACGTGAATCAGGTTTAGTTAATTATGTGTTGCGTTTAAGCTGGCTCGAATTTAATGTTTCAATAATCTTTACACTATATATTCTTCGGATAGACAAATAACAAAGAATTACTTTGTGATTGTTCGAACTTAAATTGGTATGCTTACTTCTTACCTATCATTTATCTGGTTTGAATGCGCTAAATAATGGTTTGCTTTAGAATTAACATTTGTATTACTATAGAAGTAAGTATTATACTATTATGGAAAAAGATCCAATTTACAAAGATCTGATTACTATTTTTGTATCATTGCTTTAAACACCTATCACTAACGCTTTTCATGCGTTACTTTTACATTATAAACAATGAACTATTTGAATATGATATTGTTAAAACAATGCTTTTAAAATCATTGTTTTATATAATTCCGGAAATGTATAAGCCATGTTCATTCTTTAAACAAATTATCATTAAGGAAATTAGATAGTCCAGCCCTAGCAAATCTATCGTAAACCAGCATGGGAACAGGTTTTATACCTCTATCGGAACCCTATTTAATTCTAGTGTAAAAAAAAAAATAAAAATCTAAGCGTTTACTTATTTGGTTTAAATTTGCCAATTGGAGTATTTATTTATTAAATAATCATTCGATTTGTGAATTTTTGGAGTAAAAATACCAATTTAGTTTATAGCCGTATCATATGAG